CGTGTGTGTGTGTGTGTGTGTGTGTGTGTGTGTGTGTGTGTGTGTGTGTGTGTGTGTGTGTGTGTGTGTGTGTGTGTGTGTGTGTGACTATGTGACTCGCTTATAACTTTTGAACGACTGAACCGATCGGAACGAACTACACGGCGTTCTAAAGAGTTCCCTTAAACTTAGATTTCCTGAGAATTTGAACCGATTCGGACCGATAGATTTTGAGAAATTTTAAAAAATCTAAAAAAAAAATATGAAAAAAATCATTTTTGAAAGTGGTTTTTTTGAAATATCTTTTAAACGGCTCTATCGATCAACTTCAAAAACTAATTCGCCCTTAAGCTTGAAAAACCACGCTGATCGTCGCTAATCCGGTCAAAATCGGTTGATTCGTTCGAGAGATATTCAAGAGCGAGGCCTCGAGTCGTTGTCAATTCTTTGGCAACGCAAGTAAGCTCAAAGATTCGGGGACTAGATTAGACAGAAACACGAACGAGACTTTTGAAAGGGGGAATGGCTCATACAGGTCTTACGGCTACACCTCCCCGCATGGGCCCCGCTGGTAACTGGTCGGGTTGTCATTATATTACCGATCAGGCCAACGTAGTCGTTGAATGGGGTTGAAACAGTTGACTGATTACGAGGACAGATTATTAAATTCAACTCAATTCACATCTGTCCAGTGATAGCGTAAAAGCTGGAGGGCAGGGTTTTTCCTTGCTCGGCGAGATGACGGTGCTTTTGTTTGGTGAGATTTGGATTTTATTTTACGTGCGTGTATAGCTTTTTAAAGCCCAGGAAACGGCCTGTTCGAAAGGAGGCAGACGAAAGTCTCACCAAATAACTCGTTCGAGAGATATCGTGAACGAAAGAAAACCGAAAAAAGTGTTTTTTTGACATAAATTCGTCATTTCTTCTCGGATCATTTTTGATGATATAGAATAATTTCAGAGCTTAAAAAACCACGTCGATCGCCGCCAGTCTGGTCAAAATCGGTTGATTCGTTCGTGAGTTATCGTTGACGAAAGAAAATCGAAAAAAGAGTTTTTTCGGAATTATTCCGAAATTTTTTGCTTTATCAATTTAAACTTGAAGATTCTATATGAAACTTGAAAAACTGCGTCTAATGCCTCAAACCGCGTGAAAATCGGTTCATTTATTCAAAAGTTATTGCGATTTGAAAATTCGAAAAATAGTGTTTTGTCAAATTATTATCAAACTTTTGAGCTCGAAGAGCTCAAAACCATGCAAAAGATATTTTTTGAGCTCGGAGAGCTCAAAATAATACACAAATTGTATTTATGAGCTCGAAGAGCTCTAAAACGTCATAAGTGCAATGTCAAGCGTTTAGGTATAGAATTGGCGAGAAGTTGCAGGGATGGCCTTCAGGGTCAACCGTTTTCCTAATTTTTTTGTTTTAAGAATTGGTCGAATTTTATAAAAATAATTTTTACTTAATTCAATTGAAGTTATTCGTTTGTATGCTTATAATAATGAAAACACATTAAAAAAAAATAACTTGAATCAAGAGAAAAATTATTAAACCAAAAAAATCATTTAAAAAAATTTCATTGTCTGAAATCAACACGAAAAATAATTGAATCAAGTAGTATTCACTTAAAAATCAAGAAAAATTTCTCTGTTAAAAAATTTCTCTACTTAAGGTAGTAACGTCGTGCAATTAATGTAAAATCTTTCGTACTGCACGAGTGACGTAACTAGATTTCATTTTAACTTTATCGGCTCTCCATACCTTTTTGTATAAAAGAAGCACTATCAAGAGGTGAATCGATATGAAATTTTAGTCGTGAGCTATTGATGTCTTCATACTTTTAATCAAGATAATGCCAATGGTTTTTCAATCGTTTACGGTACAAGAGAATCACTACAAGTGTTAATGCAACTGCATCAAACGCCGCCAATTTCGTTAAAGTCAGTCAATTCGTTCGTGAGATATGTTATTTTTAAAAATATCAAAAAAGTGTTTTTTTAATATAACTTCAAAATTTTACGTCGAATCGTTTGGTAGGTAATTGATATTTTTTTTTGTGCTTAAAAAACTGCGTTAAATGCTGCGAGTCTTATCAATAACGATTGATTTGTTCGGAAGATATTGCAATCAAAAATTAAAAAAAAAGTATGTTCTCAACAACCATTAGAATTTCGAGCTTGAAAAAGGATAAAAGTTGTGTTTTTGAGCTTAACAAGCTCAAAACTTCAGAGTAGATAATTTTTCAAGCGTTTTGTACATGGCGGGAAATTTCCGGGATGGCCTACAGATATATCATGTATGCCACCTATACTTTTAGCATATATTTAACTTAACATATAAACATAATTAATAACTAATTTTTTCCTTGCGAGTTTATTTAATAATTCAATGAATTTCCATCCAGAAACCACAAAATTCTCGTCATTACTTGACATAATTCTCTTTGGGTGATATATTTATTATTTAATATTTGTCATTGATATTAATAGGCAGTAACACCTGAAGATCTCGTCAAATTTGGAAGAGCTCGCAGGGATTGTGACCGGAGCGCTCCTGTGGACAGTAGTATCATTGATCGCGTGATTAGTGGTGAAATGATTAACGACCGTCAATTCTTTTGCCACGCCGCCTGTATTGTCAAGGAACTTGGTCTGGTATGTAACTTTCGCTTACATTAAAAAATAATGATAATAAATAATGAATAACAATAAATTTTTGGGTTTAGGTGAATGCAGATGGCTCTTTGATGATTGATAAGGCCGTAAGTAAAATTCCTGAAGGCTTACCAAATCGTGATGCCATAGTCAATGCTGCAAATGAATGTGGAACTAAAAGTGAGTGTCATATTATTCATTGCCAAAAAAGATGAATGTTCTTAATGTTAATTGAAAAAAAAATTATTTTCAGTGGCTGCTGATCCATGTGATACAGCCCAAATGATATTTAATTGTTTCCACGAAAAAAATGTAAGAAAATTATAATTCGACTTTTTTTTTTAATTTTTATTAATAAAATTTAAATAATGATATTAATTAAACTATAATGAATAATTATTTGCGATAGGTTCCAAGTCTCCTAATGGGATAAATGTTTAGAAGAGTCAATATTGCTTCGGAAAAAGAATTTTGCATATTCTGGTAATTGATTCATGGAATATCAGCGGTTAAGGTGATTCTTAAATGAATAAACGAGAAAACAGTCATTTGAAAATTTCTTTCAAATAATAATATTGTTGGCTTTGAAATTAAAAGATAAATCTATTGTCTTGATTAATAAATAATGTCTTAAAAACATAATTTTTATATTTCTGACTTAAAATTATTAAATCGCTACTTCCAACTTACTCATATTTATTTCATCATAATGCGAAGTAGAGAGTGCTTTACGGTAGAAAAAATTTTTCATCATATTTTTAACCAGAAATTAAAATTTTGTGCCATTTTTTTTGTGGGAAGGTTAGTGCAAATATCACGCAGTTCATATGGTTGTATTTGTTATTCTATAATGTAAAAGTCGTACTTCCTTCTCACAAAAAAGGGCAGAAACCTAAATTTTTGGGGCAGACATGATGAAAAAAAATAATACACACACCGGGGAAGAAAATATGATATCCCGATCCGCGTACTTGCCGCCCTTATGTTCGACTCAGGGGCAATTTTACACGCAGATTGGAATGTCCTATTTTCCTCCTTTGGCGTGTAACATACTATTTCGATGCAACATTTTTTCTATACTTTTGACTGGATGTAAAGAATTATCTCTTACAAGATTTAGTTCCTCAATTAGCCATCTAACTCGGTGTTCTTTAATTATAATTAGTGAAAAACTGATATTAAGCATAAACAAGTATGGCATTTAGTAGGTGCGCATGTGCGTTATAAGCAAGACAGTTTCTTCCAAGTTAGTTGAAGTCATTTATTCTTAAAAAAATTTTTAACTTCCCGCTAAGAAAATCTCAGATTTTCAAAAATTAGGAAGTTATTGGTTTTATCCCGTTTTACAAAAATCGAGTTTCCATCAGATCTCGACGTTTGGGGGTCACAGGAAGCTTCCCTGACTATCCCCGCGAGGGTGTTACTATGTCTGTATGTATATATGTGTATATATATATATATATATGTGTGTGTGTGTGTGTGTGTGTGTGTGTGTTTTTTTTTTTTTTTTTTTTTTTTTTCCTTTAGGGGGGGGAATCCTTTTTACGGATTCTAGGCATAGATGTTGGCCCGGATATGTGGCGACTCGACGCAGCGTCATACTAAAACTCGACGCTGACGCCCCTACCCACTAAACCCTAAACCCCTTTCTCTTCTATCCTCTGATCCCCCATGGTACCGCCGTGAGGCATTTCTTGGCGGGGGGAGGAATTAGCTGCCGCTCTTCCTTCTGGTGGCTAAGATGTTATTTCTTCCTTCTAGATTCGGTCTTTCGCTCTTTTCCTCTCAATGGATCGCAACTCAGTAAGCACTTTTGTAGCAAAAATGCTTGTGGCGTTCCAGGCAGCTTCTGACGACAACATTGTCTCTACTATTGACTCTGGTTGGGTTCTCTTCTTCAGAATCTTCTCTAACTCATTGCGCTGTTGGTTGAAACGTGGACACACAAAGAAGACATGCTCCGCATCTTCATTGACCCCTGGACAGGACGGGCACTCTGGGGTATCGTCATGCTTAAAGCGGTGGAGATACTTCCGGTAACATCCGTGTCCTGATAACATCTGCGTTAAGTAATAGTTGATCTCACCGTGACTCCTGTTGAACCACTCATCAATCCGAGGTATGAGACGGTACGTCCACCGACCCTTATCTGAAGCGTTCTACTCTTGTTGCCATCTTGCGATGCTGTGTTGCCGTTCTTCGCTTCTAAGTTCTTCAGGGCTCAGTGTGGTTGACCTTTTTCGCTGATATAGGTTCCGTCTTTCCTCAGCTAGGACTCTGAGAGGCAGAGTACCGGAAATAACACACACTGCATCTTCTGATATTGTGCGAAAGGCGCTAGTGTGTGTGTGTGAGTGTGTGTGAGTGTGTGTGTGTGTGTGTGTGTGTGTGTGTGTGTGTGTGTGTGTGTGTGTGTGTGTGTGTGTGTGTGTGTGTGTGTGTGTGTGTGTGTGTGTGTGTGTGTGTGTGTGTGTGTGTGTGTGTGTGTGTGT